CCCACCCCCACCCCACCCCCACCCCACCCCCACCCCCCCCCCCCCCCCCGCCCCCCCCCCGCCAAGCTGCGAGCTTGCTGCCCGCCCCCTGTACAGCTGCGCTCACAATCTCCCGGCGTCGGACTCCTCGCGCACAGCCGGCCTGACCGGCCCGTTCCGCCCACGCGCCCCGGCCTCCCGGAACCATGCGCCGGGCGCCGCCGCCAAATCCACCTCCTTCGCGGGTGGGCGTGGGGGGTGGGCAAGCGCCGTCTATGCGGCCATCAGGGGGCGCCCACGCTCCCCCACCCGGCTGCACCTCGCGTGCGGCTCTAGCCGGTCCCAGCGGCCTTGCTCCCGGAGAGACGCCGAGACCCGGCGGCGGAGGCGAGGCGGTGGGGTCGGCGCGCATCAGCACGAGCCACGCGGGGACGAGGGACGCGGGACACGACCCAATGGCCTCAAGCCTGGGAAGCGGGGGCGGAGGCGGCGGGGAGTCCCTTTCCCGTCGGCAGGAATTGGGGAGCGGGTATCCGGCACCCGCCTGGGGGCTGGGGGCGCAGGGGTGGCCCCGAGGTCAGGCCTCCTGCCGGCGGTGGCCTCGGGCCCTCCCCTGGGGCCTCTGGGGACAGGGCCGCTCTCCGCGCCCGCCGGTGTCCTCTAGGCTCGGCTCGGCTGGGGGTACCAGGACCCTCTGACGCCGAGCCTCGCAGCTGCGCGCACGGTCCTGGGGAGGCTCCGCGGCTCCTTGGGGCCCTCCCAGCGGGCTACTGTGTGCCAATGGCCGGGCGCAGGAAAGAACCGGAACGCTTGCCTTCTGACTTGGAGGGCCCCCAGGGCTACTGCTGTGGATGCTCACCTGCATCCTTTCACCCCAGGACTCGTTCTTCCTGAGGGCCCACTGTGTGCTGAAGCCCGGGTGACATCCAGAGTACACGGGAGATTCAGGCCCTGGGCACCAGGGCCAGGCCAGGGCTTTCCCCACTTACTCATTTCCCCTGAGGTTTTCTGAGGACCTACTGTGTGCCAGAGCCAGTGCAGGTGATGCTAGAACGGAAGCCAAAAGCCCAACAGTCCCTGGTTCCTTGGCTGAGCAGAGCTGAGCTGAGCTGAGCAGCCTCCCCGGTCTGGACTCTCCTCCTCCAGTTATACACCTGCAGATCCCTGGTGCTTAAATTATTTTCAAATAAATCATGTTTTTCAAACTTTTAGGGGTGGAACAAGGGAACCTGAGTATGGATTGTACAGGGTTAAGAAGAGATTCATTCTGTTGGGATGATGTTGCGGTTGCTTAGAAGATGATTTTGTTTAGACACGCAAGCAAAGGTATTTACCACCGAAGCAACGTCAGATCTTATAATTTATTTCAAAATAAATTTGGAAACAGACATTTCCATGACCTATTTTAAAATCAGTTATCTGTTATAAAGCCTACTAAACTCTTGTTTTTCTTGGTGATGTTTAAAATTTCAAAGGTGTTGGATTTAGGGAATGCACCACACTTTACACTTTTAAGTATAATTGGAAAATCTCGTTTTTTTAAACGTGGGATTTTTGTGTAGACCTGTTGTCCTAGACACAGGGCAGTTCGTCAGTTGATGTGCCCAGACTGTGGGCACCTTGGGGTGCCCCATGTGTAGGGTGTAAGAGAATGAACGGGATCCCCAGGGGCCGCCCCTGTGGGGGCGCATTCAGGCAAATGAGCGAATATTCACACGAACCCTCGCTTACCCAGACTTAGGGGGAAATAGGGCAGAGGCGGCCAGGGGACCACAGACAATGGTGCCTAGGGGACCCCTGGGAGGACTCTGGGGGGACTCGGTGCCTCTGAGGGGGACTTAGTACCTGGTGGGGTCTCGGTGCCCGGGAAAGGGGTGGTTGGTTATTTTTTGACTGCACAAGTTGCACACCACGGGGACGTGACCGGTGAGATGATGTTGGGGTCCTGCTGGGATTATGTCTTCGAGGGAGGCGCCCAGTGGGCCAGCCGGTGCTGCGGCAGTGGGGCGCCCCGAAGGCGGTGGCTTCTGGAAGGGGGATCCTTCGGTGTGTGGTGCCACTGAGCCTGGAGGGCCGACCCCCGCCCCCCGCGCCTCCAGGGCTCCCCGACGTCTCCGCCCTCCAGCCCCTCCGTGGCGGGGCCGCAGCCCGTGCGTCCTGCTCTCGGCGGCTCCGCCGCAGTCTCGGTTCCGGACCTGCAGGGCAGAAAAGGGAAACCCGAGCCGGTGCCCTTCGTCCCGGGAGCAGCGGCTTCGTGGGGAGTTGGCGGAGCAGGGGTGCACGCAGGGCTGGGGGGGTCCCTGGCCCCGGCGAGGCAGGGCGGCGAGGGGAGCGGGGGGCGGGGCCCAGGCCCGGGCAGGGCGGCGCCAGGCGGCGGCGGCCACGCGGGCGAGGGTCAGATCGCGCAGGGCCCCGAGCGCTGTGGGCGCAGGCCGGTGTGGGGGCCCCCGCGCCTTCGGGCTGCACCCCTCCTCCCGGGGGACGCAGCAGGTTTCGGGGAGAGGGCGGGCGGGCGGGCGGGCGGGGGAGGGGAGGAAGGGGCTGGCGCGGGGGTCGCCCCGCCTCTGCACCCCAAGAAAACAGACGCGCACTCGCGCAGCTGCGCTCTCCCCGTCCGGGGGCTATGGGCGGCCTCCGTTGGGCGCAGAGAGTTCGGGCCGCTTCTCCTCAGCCAGGAGACCCCAGTCGCGGCGCGGAGCCGGGGGGTGGAGGGGGGGTGGGGGGGAGGGGGGCGATGCATGCAGGAGGCGCCCTGGCCCGGGAACTACAACGCTGGGGGCGGGGCATGCCCACATGGCGGGGCCGCAACGAGCACCAGAGAGGCAGAGACGCCGACCCCGGGCCGCACGGCGGCCCTCAGCCCGACAGACGCGGCCCGCGCACGCGCGTCCAGCCCTCGCCGGTCACCTCGCGGGCTCGGCCGATCCCCCACCGCTGAGCCGAGCGATTTCCCCGCAGACGTCGGGGGCTCCCCAGTTCGAGCATGGGTGACGATGACAGCCCCGACTGCGCCCCGACGCCCGCGGCCCCGCACGCTTGTCTCACTGCCAGCGGGACCCCGAGGGGGCAGACTAGGGGGGCACAGGGGGTCTCCGGGGGAAGAAGCGCCCGGGGGTGCCCGGGAACCGACCCGATGCGCAGCGAGCTCTCGCCCCGCCGCCCCCGCCTTCCCGCGCCCGCCGCGCGTTCTGTCCTGGGGACGGGGCGGCGCCTTCAGGGACTGGCCCACGCGGGAAGCGCGGCGTCTGCGCCGAGAAATGTCTTCCCCGGCGAGCCCCGGGGTCCCCGCGGGCCTCCACTGACGAGACGAGGCCACCGGCGGGCCGGGGTCACCCTCGAGACAGACTAACGGACATGAGCGCAGCCGCCGCCTCCGCCCACACCGAGTCCACTAGTGGGGCCGGAGCCTGAGCAAGTACGCGGGACGCCCCAGGCTCAGGAGGGGCGAGGGGAGCAGGGAAGGGCTGTGGGCGGTACCCCCCAGGCGGGGGAGGAGGGCAGGGAAGGGCCGTGGGCGCGCACAGGCTCTCGGCACAGTCACCAGGTCATGTTGGGGCGCGAAGGGGCGCAGGGGCCTGATAAACTGCGCAGCTCGCGCCCCAGATGCGCCAGGGGCGGGCGGGTCAGGCTCCTCGGCCAGGCAGGCGCTGCGTCGGGGAGGAAGGAGCAGCCACGCCCTCAGCCCAAGTTTCCGGGGCCGGTAGTGGGGGCTGGGAGGCTCGTGACCCCCCCAAGCCCGGAAGGCAGGGGAGCCCCTCCCCGGAGCCCCACCCTAGCGCAGGGTCCTGGACTCCGAGGGCCGCGCTGGGCAGGACGCGCTCCCGGGACGCGGCCTCCCCAGGGCCAGACCCGCAGCCGTCGGGAGACCGGGCTTTGGGGCGCGAGCTCTCGGGAAGGGAACGGGGTGTCCAAGGGCGTCCCGAGACAGACGCCAGGTGGGGCGCGCAGGAGGCCTGGACACCGGGTGGGGCGGGCGAGGCGAGGACCAGGCCACGCGCAGGGGCCTCGGGCCGGCGGGGAAGGGCTGGATGCGGGGGCTCCGGGGCTTATGTTGGGCCCGGGAGGAGCACACGGGCGGGCCCGTCCCTGAGCGTGACCCCCGCGGCTCGCTCCCGGCTCCTCGGGACCCTGAGGGCGCCCCGGGGCGGGCTCCCCTCTGTCCCGCGGGCCGTTTTCACTCCCGCAGGGTTAGGGGGGCGTTTGGGGCACACGTTGTAAGCTTTCGGGGCTGAGCCCCCTCCCGCCCCAGGCCCAGCAGCGGAAGGGCAGAGCGGGTGCCCGGGTGTGGCAGCTGGGGTGTGTGTGTGTGTGTGTGTGTGTGTATCATTAACATGTGATTTTAACTTTGTGTGATGTTTAATATTTAAATTAATCATGTTGTTTCTGTGCCGGATGTCACTAAGCAGTGTGAAGGCAAGACGAGTCCACATTTCGGACGCGGCTGGACTGTTGACACTCCCTGCGGTGTAAAGGGTGTGTCATTAACATGTTTCTTCTGTGGTGGGATCACAGCACTGCCAGGATTCTCCACTTTCAACATTTAACACTAATAGAAGGACTTTCCACGTCATTAAAGACTGTTCAGTGTTACTGTATATTTAATTTTGTGTATATTGGGGGTTTTTATTTGGATAGTTTCGAATCATTTTACTGTAAATAAAGTGTTATTGAACATTTTTACACATAAAGATTTATCGGAATTTGAAATCATTTCCTTAGTTCATTTCCAAAATTAAAATTACTATTTCCATTGAAAATGTATTTTAGGGCCTCCCCAGTGGCGCAGCGGCTTGAGCACAGCCTGTGGAGCTGTCCGCAGCCGCCGCAGCGCCGGGTCGAGCCCGCCGGCCTCGGAGCAGCCCACATGGCGCGCAGACCCCTCCCGTCTCCCCGCTGCGCCCCTCAGCCGTGTGTGTCGTCAGGCTGCCTGCTCTGCTTCCTGCTGTCTCTGGTGAATCCGCTCCCCCTCCCGCACATCTGGCCTGTTAATTTATTTACATTAATAAATAAATCTTTTTTAAAAAAGGGTAAATATATTAAATTCAAAGTTCCCTGCAGAGGTGCTGTGAACTTATTTCTCAGGAATGGTGAGGACAGATTTCCTCTCCTGCCATCCTTTGTTCTGTCCCGCTGTCCTGCTCAAGCCTCCCGCCCTCCCCCTGCGTCGCGTCGCGTCGCGTCGCGGGCCTCACTTGTCCCAGCTCCCGCCATTGTCCGGCGCGGCCAGCGGCGCTTTCAGGCCTCTGGCAGGTCCTTTGTCAGCCCTTTGCTGTATGTACCCTTTAAATGCGCCCTCGGCAATTACGTCATCACTCTTGAGACTCCCAGGGTGCACCAGGCAGAACGCGAGAGGCCGCGCCAAGAGCGGCTCCCAAGGGCACATTAAAGAAGTAGAGGAACTAATGTTGCCGCCTCGTGGACTGGGGTGGTATCGTGGGAAAATCGCGGTCTGAAATTCGGCGGACTGGAAGTGGCTGCGCAAAGAGCGGCTCCCCGCGGCGTAATGAAGGCGCGGGTGGCGCCGCCTTGTGACCCAGAGGGATAAGTTGGGGGAAACTCAGAATGATGATGGCAGTGGGATGGGTAAGGTAAAGCGCCAGCAGGGGTGAGAAAGATGGAGTAAGGCGGGAAGCCGGAGGAGGAATGAGGTGGCGCGGCTGAGCACGGGATAATGTACGGACTGGACTGTGAATAAGATGCAGCGGTGTGTTTCAGGCAATAGAAAGGGCGGTGAGGACCATGTGAAAAATAACGGGGGAGGGCGCCGCCTGGTGGCCATCAGTGGCGAGACAGCAAATCCCTGACAAGTGGCCAAAGGGAAGGAAAGGCCCAGGTGGCCAAGCTCGGGTACCACGAAGGGGGCCTGTGGGGCAGAGTCGAGTGGCCTGTGGCGCAGGGAACAGCCATGACAGCCCACGGGGAAGGGGCGGGCCCGGCGCAGAGGCAGGAGCAGTAGAGCACGGTGGGCTTGTGTGTCCAGAGCCTTGAAGAGGAAAACCGGATAGACTAAAATGTTAGTGAGACTAGGAAATCTGTCCTTACTATTCCTGAGAAGTAAGTTCACAACCCCTCTGCAGGGAACTTTGAATTTAAAATACTTGAATGTTTAATGTAAATAGTAATTTTTTTTGGAAATGACCTAAAGAACTGTTCAAATTCAGAGAACACTTTATTTACAGTAAAATGATTGGAAACTAAATTTAAAAACCCCAATATACACGAAATTAAATGTAAAGGCTGGATAGATACAGTAACACTGAATAGTTTTTAATGCTGTGGACAGTACTTATAGTGCAGTGTTAAATGATGAAGTAGAATATAAAATTTTAGCGATGATGTAAGCACACTCTCCTTAACCCTTATGTGTGAGTAGAACACAATGTAAACCAACTGTACATCGAGTGGAATATTACACAGAAGTGCAAATAAAAGCCTCAAGCTGCATCCAAAATGTGGACTAGTCTTGCCTTCATACTGTTGAGTGACATTCAAGACAGAAACATAACAGGATTTAATTTATTTAAATATTCAATACCAGACAAAATTAAAATCAGGTTTAATGATACATGCAGTGATACATACCAGGATATGTAGTGAAGAGCCAAGAAAAAATGGGTGACAGCCATATAGGGGCTTCTTTATGGACGAAGATCATGCGATGATGTGACTTTACATTCCTTGACCTATTTAATGGAAGCTCATTTTATAATTATCAAGCTACTTCCCACCTTCTACACAGGCAAGTGCCAATATAGGGGAAAAACTAGGAAGGAAATGTACTAAGTCATAAGAATACTTTTTGATACAGTTCATCCTATTTTATTCTACTCTTCACATTTTCTATAATATACACAACTCCCTATCATTATCAGGACCAGTAACAGAAGCTGATGGAAACTCCATTGGTAAAATGACCTCCTTGCTCCTTGGCAGGGGAAAGTAATTTTTTAAAAGGCTGAAGAATTCCATGTAGTTACAGAAAAACATTTTAGGATGAAACATGGTCTCCCGCTAGTCACACAGGCAAGGGCAGAGCAGCAGTGATGGGAGTTCACGTCAAGGTCACCTCATTTTTTTTTTTTTTTAGTGAGGGTGTTTGGCTTTCTAGCCTGAACCTGTGCTCCGGCTAGCTTTTCAACCCAAATAAACAACTTTTGCCCCTATTCTTCATTTTTAAATTTAGAAATTTATTCTGTTTAATCCACAGCTGTATATAGCTTCAATTAAAAATAAAAGTGAAAACAAGACACTCCTTCAAAGTCTGAGCCCTTCCAGCTTACAAATACAAGAAAGTTGTCTTTGTCTACAAAAGATGCAGGAAAAATAATGAATGGGGCATGGATATTTCATAAAACAAAATTTTGTATAACAAAGCTTCTCCCTGTGACTCGTTCATTGCCTTTACAACCAAAAGGGAAAAAAAAAAGAATAGTAGAGAGGGACCTCCCTGTGGGCGCGAGGGGTTAGGACGCTGCACTATAAAGCACCAGCACCAGCAACTGCAGCACGAGTACCATCCCTGTCCAGGGAGCTGACCCACATGGTGCAGCAGACATCTCCTGTCTCCCCGCTGCTCCCCTCAGCAGTGTGTTTCAGTCAGTCTGCCTGTTCTGCCCCCCACTCTGTCTCTGGTGAATCCTCTCAAACACAACCCCCATCTCTGGCTTACAACCCAGTTCTTGAGTGCATAAATAATCTTTTAAGATTTATTTATTTATGCACACAAGAACTGGGGTACAGGCCAGAGATGTGGGGGGTGAGAGGATTCACCAGAGACAGAGTGGGGAACAGAACAGGGAGATCTACTGAAATACATTGCTGAGGGCAGCAGCAGGCATGACAGGAGAGGTCTGCTGCGCCACGTGGGACCCACTCCGGCCAGCCGGGATCGAACGGGTGCTGCAGAGGCTGCAGACAGCTTCACAGCGCTGCGCTCAACCACCTACAACCACCTTCGCCACCAGGGGAGGTCCTGTTTTAAATACAATTCTTAACACACCTCGCTTTATTTGCATTGAGTTAGGACCTTCTACCTTTTGATTTTTAGATTGTAAGAGGTTATGGAAAAAATTCATCTTTATTTATCCCGCAGGCCCAGAGGTGATCTTTTTCCAAAGTCCGAGCCCCGAGCCATTGGGTGACAGAGCACCCATGGCCCCAGAAGGGGCACATTTACAACTTGAAGCAAGCAGGGAGTAGAGAATCAGGAGACTTCTAAGAGTTCACCTGGTCATCTGAGGGGCACAAGTCAGGCTCCTGGCCAGTCACTCCCTGAAAATTTTAGTCCATCCCCAGGCCTTGTCCCAACATAACTCCAGGGCAGGAGGCACAGGCGGGTCTGTTGCAGGCTCCGCGACTCCCAGCCTTTCACTGACAGTGTCTGCCACAGCCAGACCCTAAAATATCCACAAGTCATTAAAACAGCAAACAAGGTTGCTTGAATTTCTGGGAAAGATTTTTTTTTAATCATTGTTAAAAATCCCCTTACCTGAAGCTGACATAAAAGCAAGGCGTGGGGCCTCCCTGATGGTGCAGGGGTTAAGCACCACACTGTGAGGCCATCCGCAGCCTCTGCAGCTCGAGTTCCATCTGATGGAAAGACTGGAAAGGAGGCCTCACGCGACTAAAACCTGACTCACGCAAGGAGGTGGGGGTCGAGGGGAATAACAGGACCATTAACCCAGCTGTGGAGGTCAGACCCTTAGGCGCCAGTGCCTAGTCACAGGGCAGGACACCTGAGCAGGATCCGAAGCTCTAGGGAGTGGCGCACAGGCCTGAGGGGAAGGATATGGAGATGGGGCCCACCCTGGAATCTCTGGTCCCTTTCTAGTGTTGCCTGTTACCTGACATCAGCAACAAACAGCCACTCCATGGAGGAGTGACCCTCCCAAAGAGAAAAGGGCTGTATCAGAGCAGTCTCTGCACGGGCTCAAGGCAGCCATCCCTCTGCCCACCCGTGACTATGCAGGTGCCTCTTCTCATCAACTCTCTCCCTCTGTAGGGCAGCAGCCTCCTGCCTGCTGTGACCTGTCAAGGCCGCCCGCCTGCAACCATGCAGGCCTCTCTCAGCAAAACCTGTCCCTTTCCCTTTCCCTAATAAATCTGCCCTGTTTTTTTGTGGGACCCTCGCCAGCGGCCAGGGAACGAACAGGCGCTGCAGAGGCTGCAGGCAGCACCACGGCCCAGCGCTCAACCGCTGCGCCACCAGGAAAGGCCCTAAATCTGCCCTTTAATGTAACTAGTGTCTCTGTCTCATGGAGAAACGTGGCTGGGGAACTCGTTGTGTCCCGCTGGAACGGGAGCTCTGGGGGCACCTTTCCCAGAGTGACCCCCAGGACCCGCACGCACTCTACACCTACAACATTTTGGCGACCGTGAAGGGACTCGTCACATCATCTGGTGCCAACATCACATCCCCAGGCAGGAAGGTGACCCATAGGGCGCCGCAGACCTCTCCTGTCTCCCCGCTGCTCCCCTCAGCAGTGGATTTCAGGCAGTTCACCTGCTCTGTTCCCCGCGCTGTCTCTGGTGAATCCCCTTGCCCCCACCCCCGCACCTCTGGCTGCACCCCAGCTCTTGTGTTCATAAGTAAAGAAATCTGTTTAAAAAATAAGTAAAAATTGGCCTTCCTGGTGGCGCAGGTGGTTGAGAGCCATGCTGTGAAGGTGTCCGCAGCCTCTGCAGCGCTGGTTCAATCCTGGCCGGCCGGCGAGTCTCCCACATGGCGCGGCAGACCTCTCCTGTCTTGCCTGCTGCTCCCCTCAGCAGTGTGTATTTCGTCAGTCTGCCTGTTCTGTTCCCCGCTCTGTCTCCGGTGAATGCTCTCACCCTCCAGTGCATCTGGCCTGTACCCTGGTTCTTGTATAAAAATAAATAAATCTTTAAAAAAATAAGTAAAATAAAAGCATGACTAAAACATCATTTACCTGCAGATCCTGACATGGATCCTATTGCAAACATTACAAAGCAGCTGCTATTCAAAATATATTGTGAGAAAAATGAAGGCTCTCGGCTCCACATAGAATGTTTCTTGTTGCACATCATGGTGCAGCACAATATACTTTGGCCCAGACTCTGACATCCCTGAGTCTGTTCCGTGGTTTGGTGTAATACTCAGCCTTCAGCCGGGAGCCTGTGTTTATTTTGGGGGGTCAGAAGGGTCTCCTGGGGACTGTGCAATCTTGGGTTTTGTTTCCTGAACCGAGGCTGGCCTCTCTCTGCCTTTGGATTGGTGAGCTCTATAGAGGATCTTCTACTGCCACTTTCACTTTAGTTTTCTGGTTCTATTTCCCTGCTCAGCTTTTTCTTTTTTCTTTTCTCTTCAAATTATACAGGGGATCTCTTGTTAACATTTCTTTCAGGGAAGATTTGTTAGTGGACCACTTCTTCAGCTTTTGTTTGTCTGGGCAGAACATTTTTACTCTCTTGTCTCTGTAGGAGAATCCTGCAGGTTAGGATATTTGTGACCCGTATATTTTATCTCTATTCTGAATACGTTATTTCATCCTCTCCTTGCACTACAGTCCTCCAGAAATGTAAGTCGGGTCCATCCCCACATATGCACGGTCCATGACAGAAACTTGTTAAGAGGTGCTAGGATCTGGGCCTCATCCTGGTGTGGTTACCTGAGCGTTCTAAAAGGATAACTCTACAAGACTTTCCATGAAAACCAGCATCAGGAACATCATTGGTACACTCTACCTATAGACTAGAGAGAGAGAGAGAGAAATTGGAGAAAGAAGAAAATTTCCATAGAAAGCAGTCCAATAAATCCAGAAAAGAAGAAAATTATTATATAAGGAAAAGAGAGCCAAGATCACTCATCTTCTGGGGCACAAGGACCATAGGGAAAGCTTTTGGTATGGGGACCTGGCAAGAATTTTGTTTATTGTTGGAGTGCTATGCAAGAAATCCCAGGTCCAGACATGCAAATGATCCCTCTTACTTTCCTTTTGCTTTGTGAAATGAATGTGTATACTATTGTAAAATAGTCTCCTTTGTGGGCCCCCCTGGTGGCACAGCGGTTGAGCTCTGGTTGCCAAGCTGCCCGCAGCCTCCACAGTGCTGGTTCGATCCCTGGCCGCCGGGAGGGTTCCACATACTGCACAGACTTCTCCTGCCGCCCGCTGCTCCTCTCAGCAGTGTACTTCCTCAGCCCGCCTGTTCTCCTCCCCGCTCTGGCTCTGGTGAATTCTCTCACCCTCCCGTGCTTCTGACTGTACCCAGTGCCTATATAAATAAATAAATAAATCTTAAAAAAAATAATCTCCTTTGTACTCAGTATTTCTACTGGGAGAAAAAGATGAATACGTCAGGGGCTACCAGCAAACATTTCCATTTTAAAGCCATTTCAGTGACTCATACAGGGCTGCCACCATATAAGGTCAAATGTGGCATTTACTCTATGATGCTAATTAATTTCATGCATGTTTGCCTGGGGCATTATTTCACTTCCCTGGATGTTCCTATGAGATTCAGAATTGAGAGTATTATTCATTGTACACAAAAATATAAAGGGTCTTTGTAAGGCAGTCAAATATAAATGACATTTTAGGCTATCATCACTGTGAATGTTACATGAATCTCAAAGTCAAAAATCTGTTCACCTTATTAATTCAAGCATTAATTCAAGCATTCATCTTAATTCAAACATTTTCTACATGGATATAGAATATTGAGTTCAATTCTTTCCTCTGTTTAGTGAGATGAGCTCTTTATGCTGACCTTGTTTTTGCAGATTTATTTCATTCTGTTGTTCCCAATATGAGTTAATTTGCATTTGGGGGCTTTATATGTACCTAGTTGGCCAGAAAATTGAGCAGGCAAAATATAAACAGACCAAAAAAACCCCACAAAACCTGCAACAAAAACACCCTCTTACGTTCAGAACAATTGAATAGCAATATTTCTCTATATTAAAGACAAGAAGCTACCTATAAATCCTTTTTCAATTCCATAATAGTTACAGCCTGAAATTAGTGATGCAAAAGTAGCTTTCCCAGTTCCTGTGCAGTTATGAGTGATCATGTGACTCGTTCTTCCCAATACAAAGTGAACAAATGTGACAGATGTTACCTGATAAGAAGTATCAGATGTTACATGATAAGAAGCTCATGTTCCTTCTCAATGACCTCTTAGTCCACATCCAAAGAATTGATGTAATATACTATGATATTATCTAGGATAGTTGATCTGTGAGCCAGAGGTTGCTACTATTCTTATAAGACCAAGCAGGAAAAAAATGGTTCAAGAGAACTGTTCTAAGAAGGAATTCATAAGAAATAATGTTTTATTCTGTTGAACTGTTGCATTTGGATTTAATGATCACCACAATCTTGTGGGTCTTCACTAATCTTTACAATATATATACTCTCTGCTATTGCTTACAAATCTTTAAGATTTCCAGAGATCCCAGTCTATGTATCTCCCTAGGAGCTTCTGTAACTTCACCTACTTTTCAATCCAGTGCACATACTTTGTGGGTATTTCAATGTGTTAAAGACTTTACTTGGAGGGGTGGGGCAGAATGTCATACATCTTGGTATGAAATGAAATTTTTACTGGAATGATAACTATGACATTAACAACGCATGGCGATAAGTAGTGATTTTACCACTTCTAAAAACAGAAATACATCCCCTTAAATTTAGCCAATATTATTTGTTGTGCCCATGAACATTATCCAACAGGTTTGATGACACCGCACTTCCTGCCTTCATATTCAGACAGTGAAAGCTGTTTCATGGGACAAGTGTTATAGATGAAAAGGAACAGGTAGGAAATAAAAGTGTAATGCAAATCTAGACCCATAGTTGGATAGTTGACAGCTGCATGTCTGCAGGAAAAAAAAGAGTCAATATTTTCTGTGAGGATAGATTGAAATGGGATTAAAGTACAGCTGGATTTTATCTGATGTTCCATAACAGTACACATTTCTCTCAGATGTAAAAGAAGTATCTGGATGAGTCTGACGACTTAGACTATTCAGTAATCACAAATTCTATCACTTTTCTTTGTATATAAATATTGATAATTTTATATATCTAATGTGGCATTTCAGAAATAAGAACGTATTGCTCAGTACTGTTGAATAGATTCAGGTTGCAACTGGCAGGACTAGGAAGTGGCCACCCCAGGGGAGAGGGGTCAGCAGTGCCCACCTGATCTGTTGAGTGGATGGAAGAATCAAGGTACACACTCACCTCATAGCATAGCAAAGAGCTTCTGCACGGCAGGCAAGCACACTTCAAAAAGAGGTCATTGAGAGAGTAAATAATATGATTGTCAGATGCTATTCTGATAGGAAAAGGCCTAGGCAGCCACAGCTCCAGAGCTGCCTCATGCTTACAGCTCTGTGATCCCAAGGTGTCAGAGGAACACGGCTGAGGGCCGCTCCTTGGCAAGCTGACCTGGTCTGCTGCTCACCAGGCATCAACTCAGACACTCACCTGTTTCCTTGGGGTTCTGAGTTCCACACAGGAAGGTACTTAAGACAAGACACTGGCTTCTCAGTGCCCTTTTGTTCATGAGCACACCGGCTGCAGCAGCTTTGGCATCCTGGGGTGTCAGCCACAACCTTCTTCATCCCTAATCAGTGAAGCCTGCAAGGTTTCATTACAGACATTGAAGTGAACCATACACGATGAGCACTCGTTCTAACCCTTGATGATCTTCCTGCAATCCTAACTAAGGTACCGTCTACAGATTCTTTAGTATCGGTGGTTCACACAGGGCCACATGAGACTTACTCATTTCAGCAGAAAAACCCAGATACACTGCGAACAGAAAAGACGATCTCCCCTGAACATGGACGTAGCATTTGTATGTTAGGGATGCTCAGACCTCAGCCTGCTTAGGTTGTATAAAAATTCTTGATCCATAAACTATAATCTTTGAATTGTAAAGATTCTTCTTGTTCTCTTCCAGGACTTAAGGAAAACAGGCACCTGCCACTGCAAATGTCACCATCTTTCCATGTACACTAATGATGAATAAGCACCCTACAAGTTGTTCTATAAAATTCATTACCTGCAGACCCAAGTGAAAGGCTACTTTTAGTGTTGTTACATGTATGACCTTAGCTTATTTTCCACAATATGGAAACCATGAAAACTCAACACCAAATATTGGGAACAAACAGCAGAGGAGGTTCACTCGAAACCCACCAAAACAAAGTGGCCACTGAGGATTTCCGAGCAATAGCACATACATTATCCTGGACTCAGAGAGAAAATAATGCCACAGTCTCCCACACAGACTCAGCTTTCCAATTATTCCAGATGATTCTGAGTATTAGCTATTATAATATTCTAAATTATTTAATGTAAAATTAAATGATCACTATATCTTCCATTCTATCAAAGATGCCAATTTTTCAATTGGCCTCAAATAGTAAAGTCTGCATCTAAAGAGTAAGACCAATTCCTCAGGTCTCAGAGATAACATTTACAAGCCCCCTGAGACAATACCCACCATCAGATCCATAATGAAAATATTTTTCGTGCACCTTCAAAACTAACTTTTTATTTTTTAAATTGATGTTATAGTTCTAAGAGCCACAGTTTTTTTTTTTTTAAAGATTTATTTATTTATTTATACAAGCACTGGGTACAGTCAGAAGCGCCGGAGGGTGAGAGAATTCACCAGAGCCAGAGCGGGGAGCAGAGCAGACAGAAAGACAGAAGGACCGAAGGACCAAAGGGCAGCGGGCGACAGGAGAGGTCTGCATGCCATGTGGGAGCCTCCTCCGGTGGCCGGGGAGCAGCCTGGAATCGAACCAGCGCTGCAGAGGCTGCGGGCAGTTTTGCAACCCAGCGCTCAACCGCTGCGCCACCGGGGAGGCCCTCCAAACTAACTTTGGAACATCTGTATTAGTATTCTGTAACATTAAATGAGCTCAACAAATAATTATGCTTACTCAACATCAAAACAAACTTTGAGGGCCTCCCTGGTAGACCAGGGCTTAAGTCTCACCATTATCACCACAATGGCCCACAATATGGCCTAAGTTCAATCCCCAGTCAGGGAGCTGACCCACAGAGGGCACAGCAGACCTCTCCTGTATTTACCTGCTGCTCCCCTGAGCAGTGTATTTCAGTATATCCGTCTGTTCTGCTCCCCACTCTGTCACTGGTAAATCCTCTCATCACCCGACACTGCTGGCCTGCACCCCAGGTCTTCTACACAAAAATAAATCTTTAAACAAAAAAAGCAAACTTTGAATTAGAAATTGGTAGAGTTCTTGTATGCATAAATAAAAATGCATAAATAAATAAAAATAAAAATAGGAATGTTGTAAGAATTATATAAAATAAAATATTAAAAAAATAAATCTAGGGCCACCCTGGTGGCACAGGGGGTTGGGGGTTGAGCACCGCACTATGAGGGGGTCTACAGTCCCCACAGCCCCAGTTTGATCCCCGGCCGGCCAGCGGGTGTCCCACCTGGCAAGGCAGACCTCTCTTGTCTCACCCGCTGCTACCTTCAGCTGTGTATTTCAATTGGTCTGCCTGTTCTGTTCCCCGCTCTGTCTCTCGTGAGTCCTCCCACCCCCTGCTTCTCTGGCCTGTGCCCTAGATCTTTTGTGCATAATAAATAAGTGTTTTAAAAAGATAAATAACAAAACACCAATGATTCAAAACAATAAAGCACAGCAATGGTACCATGATCCCAAATGTCAACAGTAATGTCCAGTTTGGGGAGCAAAAGGATCAGAGTGTGGTGGCAGGGAGTACTGGCTACTTCACTGCAGACACATGGATTTACAGCCTGGGGAAGAATTTAGGCAGAAGCCAAGTCATATGTGCTTCCTCTGTAGCTGTTCAATAGCATAATAAAAACTAAACTCCCTATTTTCTACTTACAACTGAGATTCAACCAATGATAGCTATAAGTTTTTGACATTTTTAAAAGACCACAATAAATTTTAAAGAGGCTTTGTGTATAGCCCAGTCCCTGGCAGACTGCAGGCATTTAGCTAACCCTTGTTCACTACCTTGAGTGTTCAGCGTACTTTCTATCATGGAAAAGAATACACACACTCCTGTGCTGACATAACTGCTGAAAAAAAATAGTTACATATAAACATCATCATTAAATTGAAGTCCACTTATCCAGATGTGTATACTTTATTAAAACCCAAAGGATTGTTCTCAGAAGTGTCTATAAAGGCACACCCCATCCTGCTTGCTTTGCTTTATCAGATACTGCTTTTCACAAATTGAAGGTGTGTGGCAACCTGGACTGGGCTAAGTCCAGCAGCACCATTTCCCAAAAAACATATGTTCACCTCATGTCTCGGTGATATCTAATTAGGCTATTTTCCCGTTAGACAAAATACTACTGCATACCTAATAGACGACACTATAGAGCAAACAATTTTCACTCACACCAGGAAACCAACAAAAAAGTAATGACTTTATTTATGCAATATTAGGGTTGCCGTGGTATTCTGGAAATGAACCAACAATATCTTCAAGGTGTGCCTGCACCACCTTTTATTTGGTGCAATATAAGTACACCTATTAAAGCAAAGAAATGTATTTTGCTAAGGCTGCTGTTTGGAGCTGGCCCTACCCCCACTATGGCAAACCTAATGAAGATAGGAGGTGATCACAGCTGGTGCTGGGATAGAGAAACGCTTGCCACAATATGTTTAAGAACATGTATCAGGATGAAATAGACCTATTTTTATCTCCAGAGAATTGTTCTGCATTTTGTTTATATCCAAAGCACAATTTAAAAGTGAAGGTAAGTACAGGACAGTGCACAGACACCAGCGGGCAGAGAGAGCTGAAAACGCCAAAGGTCTGTGAAAAGAAACACCTGCACAGTCACAGGCAGGCGGGAGCGCTGCCTCGCTCTCCAGAGCATTTTGTTAAAGTAGGACATACATCTTCACACTCAACTTCACATTCGGTTCATTGGAATAACAAACATAATCGAGATTGTTTCAGAGAATGGATGTGTGCTCTTCAATACTGAAAATTACTAAGAGCAATGTGCAAGAATCTAAACTTTAGGACTATGTAAATAACCTTTTTAAAATCTAATCACAAAATGATACAAGTTCACTGAAAAACTTATCAACAGAGGAAACATGAATAACAAAACAATCACCGTGAATACCAACATCCTGAGGACACCAGTCACTGCTTCTAGTGTGTTTCCCACTTGTATAGATGACATAGATCAAATCTTTAACAGTCAAAGGGGGGGGTCTTATCCTGAATAATACTGCAGGCACTGCTGAGGCATTGCTTTCTTATCAGCTGTTCTAGATCTCCAGGAATTCCTTCTGGTAGGTACAGCAGCTAAATCTGCTGTATGGGAATAATTACAGAAAAGGCTATTTTGAAATGCAGTCTCCTGTGAGTAGCAATCACATTTGGGATTAGAGCTATTTCTAAAACTATTAAGGAAATCATGTGCAACATTAAAGACAGCATCTGCATGTAACACAATGATACATTAAACTTTTATTTTAACCTGAGGCTCTTTCCTTATGAAGGAGGAAGTCCAACACCCACGGAGCTGTTCTGAGGATGGACAGGGTTGCCCACACTCCTCCCCTCCCGCTGGCCTTCAGGGGGTTTCCAGATTAGCCTCATTTGACAATCTCTGATTTGGCCAAAAATATGTAGTCCAAAAATCCCTGACTTTCGTCCTTATTTGTATGATCTTAACACAAGTTCCTGTCTCCTTTGGACCTTAGGATTCTCAACTACGGAGTAGGAATAATGTCTCTACAGTGCCACCAGTGAGATCACATAACTTAAGTAATGGACTTGTTGCACAGGGTCAGGTAATCTCCAGCAGGTGCTCAATAAACATCGATTTCTTTCCCCTTCCCTGACCTGTTCAACTTCTCTCCAAAGCAAGCATAAAAGGATTTATGATGGAGGAGGTAATATCAGTTTAACAGATTATAAATATTAAAAAGTTGATTATCGACAAAACGTCCACTTCCCAGGTGAATGAGTGTGGCTTATTCACGCTCTAATACAGGAGAGATCCTCTTAGGGCCAGGTATCAGTAGAGAAAAGACCTCAAGAGCTTAGGAATGGGCCCTTCAGTGTCTCAGATGATTTCCCATGAAGGACCTTCCATCCCCATTGGTGATAGCATCCAGCTGTCCTTGCTGTGGGAATCTCGGGGGTGTCCTTTAGTGATAAAGAGATAGTCACAGGTTTCAATACACTGAAATGGTGACTACAAACCCATTTTTGAAAAGCAGACATTGTATCCAGAGTGTGGCAGCCGTGTGGCTCTTGGTCACTCAAGGCTCAGGAAAGCCTGGTTCTATTCAAGGGGAGTCTGAAGTCGCCTCATGAGGCAGTTTCTAGGTGTCAAAGTTCCCTCTTCCAGGCTCTGAATGGCCACATCAGCTGCACAACAGGTAAGTGATGCCTCACCCTTCAGACGTGGGCCCAGGCCCAGCACGGGCAGCATCTCAGACCCCGTGAGAAATGCAGAGCCCCAGGCACCACGCAACCTACTGGGTAAGAACCTGCACCCCAGGAGACTGGGACTCGGCTCTGCCCTCCTGCCTGCTGGACCTGGCGTGGGGAGGGGGATGTCAGCCCCAGAAAAGTTTACAATACATTCTCCAAATTATATCCTAAGTCCACAGAGATAAAACACACAGATCAATGGAACAGAACGGAGAGCCCAGAAAACCCATCCGGAGGTTGATCAGTGCAGCAGGGAGGTGCTGGGAGCAAACACGGGGGATGCGCCTTCATTCAGGGGCGCCGCGCACCCTCAGGGTCACACTCGGGAATGTCCTGACCCCCATGTTCCCCCAGGACCCAAATGACCCGCGCAGAGCTCTCCACAGCCCGCCCGCCCCGCCCCGGGTTCCCTGACTCACGGCTCGGCCGTCAGCCGCGGGCAGGGAGACGTCCTCACCTTCCCCTGACCTGTTCAGCGTCTCCCCGCACTTCCCCGCCTCCTGTGCTTTGCCCCCGGGGCTTCTCCTGCCTCGGCCCGCGGGCCGCTCCGCCGGGGTGGGCGCCGCTGGAGGCCACGGCTCAGCCACTTCCGCTCCCGCCGCCGTTCCCGCGTCAGCGCGCAGGGACGGGACGTCACGCGCAGGGGGCGGGGCAAGGCCGAGGACGTAGAGGCTCGCGGGGGGGGGCCGGGGGCGGGGCAGCGGCGCGCGCGGCCTGGTGGCGCGGAGGGGCGGTGCGGCCGAGGCGGGACACTGGCAGGCGGAGGCACCAGGGCCGGCGGGAGGCGCAGGGGGGACCGAGTCGCTGCCGAGGGGTGGGTCAGCCGGGCGAGGAGGGGACACAGCCCGGAGAGCCGAGAGCCGTGGGGGGCCGCTCAGAGGGGGAGCAGGAAGCGGGAGTGTGTGGCGTCAGAGCCCTGAAGATGGGGAGATAGAATGACGTGGAGGCAAGAACCCCCTGAAATAGGGATTCTCGCTCATTCGGAGAAGAGAACAAGTCGGTGTCGCCCTTCTGCGGGGACTCTGGATTTAGATATTAGCATTTGGGATATTACATATATGTGTGTGTCTGTATTAAAAGAAATAGTTGAATTTTTAAAAAAGATTTATTTATTTATACAAGCACTGGGTACAGTCAGAAGCGGGGGAGGGTGAGAGTATTCACCAGAACCAGAGCGGGGAGTAGGGCAGGCAGACCGATGTAATACACTGCTGAGGGGCGCAGCGGGCGGCAGGAGAGGTCTGCGCGCCAGGTGGGACCCTCGCGCGGTGGCCATGTGGGATCCAGCACCGGCACTGCAGAGGCTGCGGGCAGCCTCGCAGCCCAGCGCTCAGCCGCTGCACCACCAGGGCGGCCCACCATAGAATTTTTTTAAAGAAAGCCTTAAAAATTCTGTTGCAGTTATAGAAAAATTTCTAAGGGTGAAAATATTGTCGTCCAGATAGTAAAGCAGGTGTAGGAAGAGCAGCGGCATATCAGTTAATGTCAAGTTCACCTTGTTGTTGTTTTTTGTTTTTACTGAGGGAGGTATCATAAGGGCAATCTATATAAATATTAACCCACCTGTGGAAGGTTCCAGCAATCTAAGGTGGGGTCAGAAAAGATGACCAGTCAGAGGTGGGGCTAGAGAGGATTATCAAACTTAGAAGACCCACCCATTCTGACCCCAAGGCAATAATTTCCACACTCATTCCATCACAGAACATTATGAAAGAACACCTCTTACCCTGGCAAAATGCAGCTTTTGTTCTTTCAGAGCCTATCTGAGTCTATGCAGACTTCTCTCTTTCCTGCTCTCTTTTCCTCGATCACCTTGCCATGTGCTGATGAAAGGGAACATTACTGAATGATTTGTCAGAGGATCCAAGAATCCCCCCACACTGAACCCCATCACCTGAATTCCATCAATAGGTTTTCAATTTTTAGCTTGAACTAATTTGTCAGTCCAAATGAGCACATTTTACCCTTTTTCAATTTTTACAATATTTATTGTTTTAATCAACAAGCTTCATCTAGTTATAGGTAAAAATAAAAAAAAAAACAGTGAAAATAATAAGGCACTAATTCAAAGCCCAGACCCTTCCAGCCTCAAATACAAGAGGTCTGGGGTCTCCCTCTGGGTGCAAGGGGTTAAGCATGTAATCAACATAAAAAGCTTACAAGCAATATAAATACACAGGCTAAGAGTGAAACTAAGAGTATGTTAAGGTGTCTGAGAGCGTCGTGAATGAATGGGGCTGCGTCCACACCCTGAATGTTAAAGATGATAAAAACAGATGGTGCCTGAGCCTGAACCTGATAAGGATGCATAAAAAGAGTGCATTCATGAAGCATTCTCCAAGCAGTCCCAAACCTGGCTCTGAGCTAAGGACTTTCCAGAAGCTCCTCTTCCGAGTCCAGCTTGCTGCTCCTGTTTGGACTCAGACTGTTCTCCAGCCAGAACCTCTCCTCACTCCTCAGTTTGGCACACCATGAACCAAGCCTCACTCCCCGGTTCTTCCTCCCACAAACCGGCGGCCTGCTCTCTGACAGCAGTACATGCTGCAGACCGGCTCAACATCCTGGGGACCATCCGGACTTCGGGCCCTCAAGCCTAGAGACTTCCACGGCCGGAGGACTTTCCCCTGGGTGGAAGGCCCGGCTAAGACACGTCGTGGCTACTGTCTTCAGTCAGAGCTACTCTGGGAACTTTGGGTTGCCTTGCCTATGTGAATGTGTGTGTATGTGAAGAACATAGTAATAAAATTCTCTTTGAGAGCCAACTTCTGACTGAAGCCAATTAATCCCACTTGCGATAAGTCTCAGCACTATCAAGCTACTGGCAGCCACTGTGGTACAGGTTTCATCCCCAGCCTGGGAGCTGGCCCACATGGTGCAGCACACCTCTCCTGTCTCGCCTGCTGCTCCCCTCAGAAGAGTATCACTGCATCTCTGGCCTACAACCCCAGTCTTGTATGCATAAATAAATAAAAATTTTACAAAACAAATACAAGAGGCCTGAAAGTTGTGCATAACTATGGGAAGAAAAAGACAAAATTTTGAATGGAGCAATGACATTCCATAAAACAAAATTTGAAATAACTGATAAAACCTTCCTGTGATTATTTCATTGCCTTTGCAAAAAGAAATATAGAACATAATAGAATGAAAATCCTGTATTCCAAGTCAACTTGTCACAGATCGATATAAATCGAGTGTCCTGCCTAAGAGAACACTTTTATTTTCTGTCTCATCCTACAAGTGAAAACATGGTTATTTCAGCAGAGGTTCCATCATTGACAGGAAAGCTGGCAGTATCAAGATTTATACTGATTCACTTGTGGTAGTTCAACAGTGGTTTTGATCCTGGAATTGTCAGGCCTAGTCTCCCAGCCAGGAACGGATCCCAGGCTGAAGGGGCAGCGCTGAGTCCCAGCCACTAGACCCCATGGGTTGGTGTCTCACGAAGCCGCAGCAGGAACTTCACAGACTCACAGGCAAGCAAGCGAGAAGAGGCAGGTTTGTTTAGAGAAAGAAAAAGTTTATTGAGGAGAAAAGGAACTGAAATAAAGTGGGACTCCCAGGCCATGAAACCAGGCCTGGGAGGGGCAAGGAAGCCAAACTGGAGTCGTGTCTCTGGGAATATATACCTTCTTTCCCTCATTATTATAAAGCTCCACCAGTCTCTTTGTGATTGGTTAGTTCTTGGCTGTCTCACTTAATTTGCTTCTTAGCGGGGGATCTTCACATTCTTTATCTAACAGGTTTGTCTTTCCCCATTTGTTGCATCTTTATCTTTATGGCCCAGTCTTCTGGGTGGGCATCCCTGCATTGAAGTTAAACAGCTGCCCTTCTAATTTGTCCATAAATTAAACCACTCTCCATTTCCCCAATCTCTACCTCCCTTTATCACCTGAAGGAAACCTAGGTCAGCATTAACAATGTTGTCCTTGGTCCTGGGATGTTTGTTTTTCCTAGTGGAATTAGTGACATTCCTCTTGCTGCCCTCATCTCTGAAGCCTTCCTCAACTCTCCGAGGTCCCCTCGTGCAGTGTCCCTAAAACTGCCTAATTACCCTAACTTGCCCTGTGTCTCAGTTTTATTTCTGGGTAAACTTGTAAACCGTACAAGTGTTACAGGACAGAGAGAGGGGCAGCCCAAACCCTGCAAACCTGCCTATTCTATATAGGGTTCTGCCATCCGCCGCATTAACACAAAACATGAGACTTTAATGGGAAGGAACTTTAATACAATTAGGAAACAATACAGAAAAGGCAAAGAATCTGGTTTCTAAATCAAGCACCCAAAGTTACCCGCCCCCTTGTGGGTAAAACTCCAACTGTTGTAGAGCAACCCCAATACAAAACAGGGTGCCTGACTGTGGGTCCTCACCCGCACGCTTAAAAGGACTTATCAATGCTCTACTGCAGGCACACGCGAAAGGTTAATAAAAGGTTTATTTACAAGGGAAGGGGAAATGAGGAAATGTACAGCTCTGGGAGAAAAGTGGGAGACAAAGTTTTAAATGAGTCCTACCCAATCCGCCGATCAGGAATCCCAAAATGGCGCTCTCAGAGTTGGCCGCCAGCCAGGAGCGGTGAAGCCAGGAGGCGAGCGATCGCGAGCCAGCGACCCCAAGGCCCACGTGTTTGGTTTTTATATCCAACCTGGCTGCCCAACTCCACCCTCAGGTCCCAGCCACCCTCCCTTTGGTGGTGATGGGATTTGTCTTTCCCAATGTCTTGATGGCTTTAGTCTGGAGTGGGGGTGGGGTCCACAAAGCCTGTATGGGATTAACTCAGGACATCATTTCCCCCTAACACATCCAAATGGGATTGGCCCAGAGCAAGGCCCCACAGCCTGCCACAAGTCTAAAGCATCTTCCCGTGGGGACCCACAGAAAAGGGTCAGAAACAACCAGACAAGCCCAAGGAAAAGAGCAAAATCAAAATCAAGATAAAAACTGCCATTGTCACCTCCCTACGGGTCTCACCCACATCTGTGTCACCCAGTCCACGACCAAAAGACAAGCACAGTTTCTTCACGTGTCTCTAGGCTCCATGTGCCTCCTCCAGGTCTCCTTCTGGCTCCATTCTGCTTCCTTCCTCAGTCTCCTCTGCAGCTTCTTCTCTCTCTGCTCAGCTCCACCCTCCCTTGGGTGGGCCAGGAAACCTGGAACCTCCCCCTTTCCTGGGGGCCACCCTGTTACACAAGGTCAGAAGTATCATAAATGAAGAGGGTGCAAAGAAAAGAAGAAGAAAGAAAAAAAAAACACTGGGTGGGAATAGCAAGAGGCATTCAAGGAACCAAAGAATGCCAACAATATTTAACTCCCATTTTTTAAAAAGGAGATTTTATTTTTGGCTAAAAAGTTACCCTTTAAATGAATTTTGTCCACTGTCAATGAAAGGAAGTCACTGACACAGAGCAGAAGGCTATTGCCATGTCTATCCGTGACCTTTATTGTTTGTGACATGGTGACTTTCAAGGTAGCAAAAATGGCAACAGATGTTCTAGTCTCAACCCATTTGAGCAATGTTGAAATGGAATTGCACACAGGCCCCACAAAATGGGTATCCTCACCAACATTTCCACCCCAGAAAATAACACCTTTTTAGACATTACAGAAAATGACACATACATTTTTTTTAAAGATTTATTTATTTATTTATAGAAGCACTGGGTACAGTCAGGAGCGTGGGAGGGTGAGAGAATTCACCAGAGCCAGAGCGGAGAGCAGAGCAGGCAGAAGGACCGAAATACACTGCTGAGGGGAGCAGCTGGCGGCAGGAGAGGTCTGCGCGCCATGTGGGCCCCTCCTCCAGTGGCCGGGGAGCAGCCGGGGATTGAACCGGTGCTGCAGAGGCTGCAGGCAGCTTTGCAACCCAGCGCTCAACCGCTGCACCAGCGGGGAGGCCCAACACATACATTTTTTATTAACACTCTGTTTTATGAATGTTCCATAACTGGAAAAAAGTAACAAACCTAGATGGGATTTCCTATTTGTATGCAATTTACAGATTCCGTGCAATTTCAATGAAAATTTCCGTGGTGTTCTTCAACAAAATGGAACCAATACTGTTCAAATTCATATGGAATCACAAAACCTTGAGCAGTGAAAGTTCTGACTAAAAGGGAGGAAAAATGGAGGTCTCACACTCCCAGACATCCAACAATATGACAAAGCTGTTATAATAAAAACTATGTTGGGACAAAAACAGACACAGAGACCAATGGAATCAAAGTTAAGCCCAGAAATAAAAGCACACATATATGGTGAGCTAACCTATGACACAGGAGCAAAGAATATACATTGGGAAAAAATCGCCTCTTCCATAAATGGTGCTGGGGAAACTGGATTGCAACATGCAAAAGAATGAAGTAGACCACTGTCTCACACAACACACAAACCAACTCAAGTGGATGAAAGACTTGCATGTGAAACCTGGCACCATCGAATATACAGAAGGGAACACAGGACAACACTCAATGACATGATCCTCAGAAACATCTTTGAGGATTCTTCTCCAGAAGCAAGGAAAACCAGGGAGAATGTAAACAAGAGACAATGATCAAAACAAAGAGACACCCCGCTGAATGGGAGAAAATATCAGCACACCACATGACAGCTAAGGGACTGATATCAAAGATCTACAAAGAGCTTACATGACTCAACAAAAACAAAAAACCCAGTCCAAAAAAATGGGCAGAAGTAAAAAGACACTTCTCCAAAGAAGAAATGCAAATGGCCAACAGGCATAGAAAAAATGTTCATCATCACTAATATCAGGGAAATGCAAATCAAAACCACAATGAGGGACCACCTCACTCCAGTGAGAATGCTCCTCATTAAAAAAACAAAACAAAACAAAACAAAACTGGCAATAACAAATGCTGGAGAAGCGGTGGAAACAAAGGAGTCTCTGATGCTGCTGGTGGGAGCGCAAACTGGTCCAGCCACTATGGGCAGCTGTGTGGAGGTTCCTCAGAACACTGAAAACGGGTCTACACATGATCCAGAGTTCCACTCCTTGGAGTTCCACTCCATGTCATAGCCATGACATGGAAACAACTCAAATGCCACAAAACAGATGAATGGATCAAAAAGTTGTGGTACAGTTACACCGCGGAGTATTGCTCATAATCAAAAAAGACAAATTCATGCTGTTTGTGGTGATACGGATGGAGCTGGAAGGGATGATGCTAGCCACAGTAAGGCAGGAGAAAGAGAAATATCAGCTGGTTTCTTACGTGGGAAATATAGAGAAACTGAACAAAAGGTAGAGAAAAAGACAACCCCAGCAGGCTGACCAAGAGCTGAGGCCCCCAGCGCGGAGGGGGGAGGGGGTGAACAGAGGGGAGGGAAAGAGCACAAGGGATTATGGTGATGGGTCACGGGTGCTATTCTGGTGGGAGCACTATGGGGACTACCCCTGAAGGGAGAATCCAATACCTAAAAAAAATGAACAACGATGCAAGAAAAGAAAAAAAAAAGAGATGAACTTGAGGAAAGGGAAGACCCTAAGACAATATAAATAAATAAATGGTCCTAAAGGCGGGTCTCACCTGAACAATGCTGCAGGCACTGCCGAGGCATCCTCTCCTCACCAATTGTTCTAGAGCTCCAGGAATTTTCTCTGGTAAGTGCAGCAATTAAACCTGCTGCCTGGGAATCATTAGAAAAAGGCTAATTTTAAAAAAAGATTTATTTATTTATACAAGAACCGGGGTGCAGGCCAGATGCGCCTCCCCGAGCCCAAGCGCCTTCCCTCCCTGAGCCTCACCTGTCTACTCCCCGCCGCCGGCTCCCCAGGTCAAGGGGCAGCGGCGCCCCAACGGGGTTCCTGAAGGACCAGGCTCACCCCAGCCGAACCTCACCCCGAGTCAGGGGCCAGCAGGGCCTGAACGAGCGTGCACGTGCGGTAGCGGCACAGGTACAGCCAGGTGCGCTGGGCGGGGCTGGGCGCGCAGGGGCTCCCGGAGGCCACGGCACCCGGACGCAGGCGCTGGCGGGACGGCTCCCAAATGAACATTGAGATGCAGGCAAATCCGCGCCCCTGTGACCCTACATTATCCGCTAGTCATTAAAAGGGCAAACAAAGTGGCTTGAATTTCTGGGAAAGATTATTTTTTTAAACCATTCTTAAAAATCCCCTTTGAAGCTGACATAAAAGCATGACTAGGGGCCACCCTGGTAGGGAAGGGTTTAAGCACCACACTGTGAAGCCATCCACAGCCTCTGGAGCCCCAGTTCCATCCCCAGCCAGGAAGGTGACCCACGGGGAGCCACAGACCTCTCCTGTCTCCCCGCTGCTCCCCTCAGCAGTGGATTTCAGTCAGTCCACCTGTTCTGTTCCCCGCGCTGTCTCTGGTGAACTCCCTTACCCCACCCCCGCATCTCTGCCCTGCACCCGAGCTCTTGTATTCATAAGTAAATAAATCTGCAAAAAAAATAAAATAAAATAAAGCATAACACGTCTCCCGACTTACCCATCACGAGATATGTATGGCCGGGAACGCCCTGGCCAAGGACCGATGTATTGACAAGGGACCCCAGAAGCTGATCAGTGGAACGCCTTGTCGGTAAGATTAGAACAATGGCTGGGGATTAGGGTGTGTCATGAAGTAGGTAAGAAGTGCCGGAGGGCAGACTCACAATCCCTAATCTTCTACACCCTTCCCCTTTCTATCATCTCCATGCCCTTAATCTCCTTTTGCTCTTCCCCCTTACAACCAATACCGTGGGTCAATAAAAGGGCCAGGATCTTGCTCTTCAGCAATATCCTGCATTATGTAGCCTGCTCCACGACTCCTGTTTCTTTATCAGTGTGATATTGCCCAATGCAACAAATGGCTCCCAAACAGGGACCCCACACCCTGCTTCTCAAGCCCGGAGACGGGAATTGGACATCCTCTCAAGTCTGGCCAAAAGGCTTCACAGACCCAGAGTCTGCGACCAAGCGGTAAGAAGGTGTTTTCAGTCGTGTCTTTCCTATCTTTTTCTTCCAAATCAGCCTGGTAAAAGGCCCACAGATTCTGAGTCTGTGATGTTACTTTCTTCCAAATCAGCCAGGTAAAAGGCCCACAGAGCCGGACTCTGGGATGATAATCAGCCTGGTGAAAGGCCCACAGACACTGAGTCTGTGATGTTAACTTTCTTCAGTGAGTTTTTCAGTTAAATCTTTACTCTCTCTCTTAGAAAGATGAGTGATAATCTCACACCCCTTCAGATCAAAGATCTTAACCTCTCTTCTCTTGTTTTCCCCATGCATGGTCCATAAAAATTATTCCATTATCTTAAAAATGTTTGGTCTCAATAAAATAAAGCAAAAACAATATAAAGCCAAAGGATTATTTCTTAAAAATACAAACTCTAAAATATTTTAGCATCTCAAACTTAGTAACAACTGCCTGTCTTTAAAATTTTGGTGACCTTGGGCCCTCAGTCTTAAGTAATGGTTGAAATTAAACACTTTATCTATATAAGGATTTTAACTTCTATCTCATTAAAAAATCTTGATATATGGGGCCTCCCTGGTAATACAGGGGTTGAAGTCTCAACACTGTTGAGCTATCTCAGGCCAGTACAGCAAGGGTTAGATCCTGGCTGGGGAGTGGCCCACATTACAGAGCCAGCCTCTCCTGTCTCAGCCGGCTTCTCCCCTCAACAGCATGTTTCGGTAGATAGTCTGTTCTCACCACTCTCAGGTTGGTCTTTTCACCCCCACACATCTGGCTTACACCCTAGTTCTTATGTATATAAATAGATAAAAAACCTTTAAAAATAGATAATTTGACTTCTTAAAATTAACACATGGCCAAAAGTTTAAATAAAAATCAAGAGATCTCTGTTTATCCTTGTCTTCTACCTCCGGAGGATTAACTATAAATGGCACCTATACAAAACCCCCAATTTTGATCATGATCTAAATTTGGTAAACTAGTGTAAATTCAATGGTTTAATTTAAGAGATACATGTCTTTAGGTTTTAAGATTGGGTGTTAATATTTAATGTTTAAATGTGTTTTCTTAAAAGGTAAAAATTGCGTTGTTCAACAAACACCGGTAATTAACTAAACAGAAAGACGAACCCACTCTTAAAAATCTTTGTTAGTATAAATAAGTAAGTATGTTATAAAGGTCTGTAAGTTTGTTAATCCTGTAAAAAGCTTTTTCTAAAACAATAAGCTCTTCATCCTGTGGGTAATAATCCTACCTCCCCTCAAAACAATTATAAAGAACAACTTAGCGCTCCCTTTACACGAGGGGGTTAAAAAACATTTACTGGACTCTTCTGAGTCTGACCCTGATCACAAGGCCTCTTCAGAGGCTAGTGGTGGGGAATTTTTTAATCAAGCAGAGGATGCTACAGCACCCTCCACCTGAACTCTCTAATAAGCTTCAAGAAATTCTTAGAGCATTTCAGACTCTTTCCACTCATTCTAATCTGCCAATGTCTCAAGATTCTTGTCAGCAAAACTTAGTTAAAAAAATGCTTAAAGAAGGGCCTCCCGGGTGGTGCAGGCGGTTGAGTGCCGCAATGTGAGTCTGTCCACAGACTCTGTATCATTGGTTTGACCCCGACCGACGGGCGAGGATATACACTGCTGCTCCCCTCAGCAGTGTATATTGTCAGTCTGCCTGTTCTGTTCCCCGCTCTGTCTCTGGTGAATCCTCACACCATCCTGCACTTCTGGCCTATACCCCGGTTCTTCCATAAATAAATAAATATTTAAAAAATGTTTAAAGAATGCCGTAAATGAGAGGAAATCCTGTTAGTACATGGATATCCTGTTAGGAAATCCTGTTAGTACATGGATAGTAACAAATCCTGTTAGTACAGTTTTGCATATCCTGTTAGTACAAAAAGGAGTTGTGTAACCCATGATAATATCCCCTTTCCTATTTTTTTAATTTAAATTTTATTTTTATATTCCCCGTACAATTACAACCCCCTTATTTTGACCCCAATCCCTCCTTTCCCCACCCCCACCCCCATAGAGTGTCTCTGGCTCATAGTTGTTTGCTGATTTTAATATTTTCTTTCTTATAGTTATTCCTTTTCCTGGTCCCTTATTTAAGTTTTCTAGATTCCTGCTATGAGTGAGACCATCCGGTGTTTGTCTTTTTCTTTCTGGCCTATTTCGCTGAGCATGATCCCTTCCAGCTCCATCCATGTTGCTGCAAATTGCATGTGTTTATCTTTTTTGAATGCTGAGTAATATTCCATGGTGTATATGTACCACATATTCTTGATCCAGTCATCTATTTTTGGGCTTTTGGGTTGTTTCCAAAGCTTAGCTATTGTAAATAGTGCTGCTATAAACATAGGGGTGCAGGTGCTCTTTGGAATTGATGTTTCTGTGTCCTTTGGGTAAATACCTAGGAGTGGAATTGCTGGATCATATGGAAGCTCTATGTTTAGAAAGAAATCTCCACACAGCTCTCCATAGTGGTTGGACCAGTTTGCACTCCCACCAGCAGTGCAGGAGAGTTCCTTTTTCTCCACAACCTCGCCAACATTTGTTGTTGCAAGTTTTCTTAATATGTGCCATTCTCACTGGTGTAAGATGGTATCTCATTGTAGTTTTGATTTGCATCTCCCTGATTACAAGGGATGTTGAACATTTTTTCATATGCCTCTTGGCCAATTGCATTTCCTCTTCAGAGAAGTTTCTTTTTAGCTCTTCTGCCCATTTTTTGACTGGATTATTTCGTTTGTTTTTGTTGAGTCTCATCAGCTCTTTGTAGATTTTTGTGATCAGTCCTTTATCATTAGTGTTGGGTGCAAAAATGTTCTCCCAGGCGGTGGGGTTTCTCTTTGCTTTTGTTATTGTCTCTTTTGCTGTGCAGAAGCTCTTTAATTTGATGTCGTCCCAGCTATTTACCTTTGCCTTCACTATCACTGCTTTGGGTGATGTGTCTGTAAAGATGTCTTTGATGTGCATATCATGTAGTGTTTCGCCTATATTTCCTTCTATGTATTTTATGGTTTCAGGTATTATGTCTTGTTCTTTAATCCATTTTGAGTTGTTTTTTGTGCATGGTGTTAGGTAGTAGTCAAGCTTCATTCTTTTGCATGTAGCGACCCAGTTTTCCCAGCACCATTTATTGAACAAACTTTCTTTGCTCCAATGCATATTCTTTGCTCCTTTGTCAAAGATTAGTTGACCATAAATCTGTGGGTTTATATCTGGATTTTCTATTTGATTCCATTGGTTTGTGTGTCTGTTCTTGTTCCAGTACCATGCAGTTTTTTATGATTATGGCTTTGTAGTATAATTTGAAGTCTGGGAGTGTGATGCCCCCATTCCCTTTTTTTTTTCAGGAGAGCTTTGGATATTCTGGGTTTTGGGTGATTCCATATGAATTTCATCAATAATTGTTCTATTTCTTTGAAGAATGACATTGCAATTTTTAATGGAATAGCATTGAATCTGTATATTGCTTTTGGTAGGATGGCCATTTTAATAATGTTTATTTTTCCAATCCATGAGCAGGGGATGTCTTTCCATTTCTTTGTTCTTCTATTTCTTTTAACAGTGTTTTATATAGTTTTCATTGTATAGGTCCTTTACCTCTTTTGTTAGATTTATTCCCAAGTATTTGATTTTTTTTTGTTTTGATAATAAAAGGGATTTTTTTTTTATTTCTTCTTCTTCAGATTTATTGTTTGTGTATAGGAAGGCTGCTGACTTTTGCGTGTTGATTTTGTATCCTGCCACTTTACTGAACTGATTGATGAGTTGAATTAGTTTTTCTGTGGAGTTTTTGGGGTTCTCTATGTATATTATCATATTATCTGCAAATAGTGATAGTTTGACTTCTTCTTTTCCTATTTGGATTCCTTGTATGTCTTTCTCTTGTCTTATTGCTCTGGCTAGGACTTCCAGGATTATATTGAAAAGCAGTGGTGGGAGTGGACATCCTTGTCTTGTTCCAGATCTTAATGTGAATGCTTTCAGCTTTTCACCATTGAGAATGACACTGGCTGTTGGCTTGTCATATATGGGCTTTATGATGTGGAGGTATGTTCCTTGTATCCCAAGAATTTCAAGGGCTTTAATCATGAATGGGTGTGCACTTTGTCGAAAGCTTTCTCGGCATCTATTGATATTATCATATGGTTTTTATATTTCTTTTTGTTGATGTGTTGGATAACGTTGATTGATTTTCAGATGTTGAACCATCATTGTGTCCCTGGAATGAATCCTACTTGGTCGTGGTGAATTATCTTATGGATACATTGTTGGATTCTGATAGCAAAAATTTTATTGAGGATTTTTGCATCAGTGTTCATAAGCGAGATTGGCCTGTAGTTTTCTTTTTTTGTGTTGTCCTTGTTTGGTTTTGGTATTAGTGTAATGTTGGCTTCATAGAACGTGTTTGGTATTATCTCTTCCTTCTCAATATTTTGGAAGAGTTTGTGAATGATAGGCACTAATTCGTTTCTGAACGTTTGGTAGAATTCATTTGTAGATCCATCAGGCCCTGGGCTTTTGTTTTTGGGAAGGTTTTTGAATGGGTCAGCATTCTTTTTTTTTTTTAGATTTATTTATTTATTTATACAAGCACTGGGTACAGTCAGAAGCGCCGGAGGGTGAGAGAATTCACCAGAGCCAGAGCAGGGAGCAGAGCAGGCAGAAGGACCGAAGTACACTGCTGAGGGGAGCAGCGGGCGGCAGGAGAGGTCTGTGTGCCATGTGGGACCCTCCTCCGGTGGCCGGGGAGTAGCCGGGAATCGAACCGGCACGGCA